TGGTTTCAGCTGAGCTTCCTGAATAAGGTGACTTAAAAGAAAGGCCTGGTGATTGTTTTCCCAAAAGATATGTAACACAACAGAATATTGCCTGGTTATATTACTGGATGATGGCTCAGGACTGGGTAATGCTTCATTCTGTTAGCGCTCATGAGATGGCCACTAACAACAACCACACCAACACGAGTACTGGATACTAATGTACACTAACAAAACTAACCCATTGCCATCAAGTCAGCTCTTGCTCATAGTAGAACTTATCTTAGTGACATAGACGGAGCAACACTTTGGGGCCTTTCATTTGCTGAGCTGAATATATTCATTAATAATCAGGACATGGAATCTACAAAGTATGAATCGATGAAAAATTGAACGTCAACAAAAACAAAATGGAGCACATAAAAGTTGAAATCCTAGGCATTCGTGAGCTGGACTGAGCTGGTAGTGATCATTTCAAATCAGACGAACCAATGATTTAGTGTGCTGGGCATGGCAAATGGGAGAGGAACGGAATCACATTACTCCGTCAATGCATATTTTGGCATCTATCTTGAAGTACAATGTGGTCTGTGTTGATAATATCTATCCACCTACAGAGAAGACAGGTCAATACAACTACTATTCAAGCTCACATACCAACCACAAAGCCAACGATGAAGAAAATGAGGAATTCTACCAAATTCTCCAGTCTGAAATTTATCAAACAGGCCATCAAGATGCACTTATTATTACTGATGACTGGAATGGGAAAGTTGGAAACAAAGAAGGATCAGCAGTTGGAAAATATGACCTGAGTGATAGAAATAAAGCTTAAGATCATCTAATGGAATTTTGCAAGACCACTGACTTCTTCGTTCCAACATACATGGTGACTATTCAAGTGAACCTCACAAAATGGAATTCACAGAAATCAAAATGACTGCATCTGTGAGAGGAGATAATGGACAAGCTCAATATCAGCCATCAATTCAAAGGCAGGAGTCAAGTATCGAATAGACCATCAATTGGTCTTATGAATGCTCAGCGTTAAGTAGAAGACAATTTTATTTTTTAAAAGTCTGCAACGTCATAATACAAGCTTGAGTCTATTCCACGTGAATTAAGAGTTCATCTCAAGAACAGATTTGACACATTGAACATTAACCTCAAAATATCAAACAAACAAACAAAAAATATCAAACAAGTTGTAGGATGGCATCAAAAATATCATGCATCCTGGTTGGGGGACATTCATAAAGGTCAGCAGATAGACCTGGAACTATTAATAGACTCTTTTCACATATATATATATATCTGTCTATCTGTACAAGATAGTAGGATAAATAATGCTGAGGAGAAATCAGCAGGACCAATGGTTCCAGAGAGGCATGGGAGAGGAGGAGGTGGGAGGAAGGGAGAGAGAAGCCAACAAACTCAGGGGCAGGGGAACAATGAGGGATCTAAAATCGATGACAATGCGCTGTGGAATGCCTGGTGATGTTTGATCAACCATAAAGTATCCAAGAAGCACTGAGAGCCGAATGAAGGGTGAACATGGTGATGGGGCAGGAGGAAAGTAAAAGGGAACAGAGGAAAGAGCTAGGCGGTAAAAACTATATAGAGAGGTTTAAATATAGACACATATATACATACATATATTAATATATAAAGATAGGGGTATTGGTCTATGTACATATATTTATATGTTAAAATTATAGAGGTAGTAGACAGACTCTGGGCCTCTTCGTAAGTCTTCCCTCAACACAAGATCATTTTGTTCTAATAATCTGGCCCTGTGTTATAGCCACCTTCCCGACACAATTGCCAAAGACAAAATAGGTGCATAAGCAAATGTGGTGAATAGAGTGGATGGTGCCTGGCTATCAAAAGGTATAGCATCTGGGGTCTTGAAGGCTTGAAGTTAAACAAGGAAGCAACAAAGCCCACATGGAAGCAGCACACCAGCCTGTGTGATCACTAGGTATTGACAGGATCATATATCAGAAGATAAAAAACAAACACTTATATCAATGTGAAGGAAAGTGGTCAGAGTAGGAACACAGAGAGCCCATCTGTGGACAATTGGACATCTCCTGAAGGGTCACACGGAAGAGACAATTCATCCACGGTGCAGTATGGCACCAATGAAATACACAGCATTCCTCTAGTTATTTACGGCTTCCTCTCCCCACCATCATAACCCAGATCTGCCTTACATATCCTGCTAGATTGGAATCTGTACACTGGTACAGATAAGTGCTTTTGACAGATGTATTCCAGGACAGACAAACCCCTCAGAAACAGTAAAAGGAGTAGCGATATCATGAGGGTTCAGGGAAGAGGGGAAGGGGAGAAAGGGGAAACTGATAGCAATGATAGATGTATAGCCAGCCCCACCCCAAGAGGGACAAATAACAGAAATGTGGGTGCAGGGATACAACAAATGGTGTAAGATATGAAATAATAATAATAATGTATAATTTATTAAGGGTTCACAAGAGTGGGAGGAAGAGGGAGGGGAGGGAGAGAAAAAAGAGGAGATGATGTCAAAAGGCTCAAGTAGAAAGATAATGTTTTGAAAATGATGATGGTGACATATGTACAAGTTCACTTGATATAATTGATTTATGGATTGTTATAATATCTGTAAAAGCTGCCAATAAAATGATTTAAAAATATATACTTGAAAAAAGTGAAAGGTCATAAAAAAGACAGGAAATAAATGAATCACTGATTTCAATAAAATACTCTTCTGGGTGTCAGAAGAGTTCACAAAGCATACTTTTGAACATAGAATAGCAAAAGTCAATGGAAGAAACGGTGAAGCGAAAGAGCGGAACAAAGCTGGAGAAGACAAAGCAGAGCATTATATTGAAAAGCTCAGAGACTGGAGGTGGAAAGCCAAAAGTCAAGAACATGCTCACTACATTGCAAGCAGAAAGAACTGAAGAAAGCTCCAAGCCCCAAGTTGCATGAAAAATTTTATAGGCAATGCATTGAGCAACGCAGGAAGCAGCAAGAGAAAAAGGAAGGAGGACAGAGTTACTGCACTCAAAAGAACGGGGTGACCTTCAAACATTTCAAGAAATAAAGTATAAAAAAACCCAAAGGCACTGAAGGAATGAGTGCAAGCTGCACTGACGACATTGATGAAAGGCAATGCTCCAGGAATTGTGGGAATGCACTGTTTCAACACAGCTGCAGCACTGGCAGCACTCGCTGGTTTATGCTACAAAATCTGGAAGTTAGCAACCTTGCCAAGCAACTGGAAGATAATTCATATTTGTGCCTATTTCCACGAAAGATAACCCAAGGAAATGTAGAATTATCTAACAACATTAATCTCATGCAAGAGAAGTTTTTGTTAAAGATAATTGGAGTGATCTATAGATAGGGAGTTTCCAATAATTCAAAGCAGATTAAGAAAAAGGATGTAGAACAAGGGCTATGGTTGCTGACGTAAGATAAGATGGACCTTAGATAAAAGTAAAGAATATTAGAAAGATATTTATTTTATTTTATTGACTATGCAAAGGCATTTTGGACAGTGTGGCTTATAATAAGCTATGGAAAACACTGGGAAAATGGGAATTCCAGAACACCTGATTGTGCTCATGCAGAATCTGGACACAGATCAAGAAGCAGTTGTTCAAAGAGAATGAGAGGATGCTGCATGGTTTAAGAGCAGAAAAGGTGCATGTCAGGGTTGTATTCTCTCACCATACTTAATCAATCTCTGCTATTAGGAAATCATGTTAGAGGTTGGACTCTATAAACACCACAGCATCAGGATTGGAGGCAAGCTCTTTGCTCTCTGAGCTAGGCAGAAGACAGCCTTGCCTACTGAAAGTGACAAGGACTTGAAGCACTTACTAAGGAAAATCAAAGACTACAATTTTCACTATTTAGTACAACTAAATTTTAGGCAAATCAATAGGTAACATCAGAATAAATGAGAAAATATTGAAGTTGTAAAAGATTTCATTTTACTTGGGTCGTCAATCAACACTTGTGGACGCAGCAGGCAAGAAATCAAGCTGTGTGTTGCTTGGGCAAATCTTCTGCACGAAACCTTTTAAAAGAGCTAAAGGGGAAATATGTCACATTGCGGACCCAAGTGACCCAATGCATGACATTTTCAATTGGCCCACAGGCATATGAAAGCGGGACAGTGAATAAGGAAGGCCAGAGAAAAACCGACGCTTTTGAAATCTGGTTTTAGCGAAGAACATTACACGTGCCAAGGACTGCCAGAAGAATAAACAAATCTGTCTTGCCGGAAGTGTGCTCAGAATGCTTCTTAGAAGAGAGCATTTTCAGATCTGGCCTCATATGCTTTGGGCAGCTTATGAAGAGAGGCCAGTCTCCGGGAAAGGCCATTCTACACTGACAGTTGGGAGACCCTCGAAGAAATGGATTGACACGTGGCTGCAACAATGTGCTCATAACAATGGTGGATTTCTCTCGGTTGCACAAAAGCTTGCTGGGTCAGAAGGGACCCAGCATCACAACGAAGGGAGTTTAAAATGCTTAGGTGTCGTCCTGCATTTTGTGTGATAGAGTACTTCCAGGAGACCTTAAGGCTTTATGTTAATCATTGGATATCTTAGGGTCCCAGTACGTGTTGCTTTAATCCCAAATTGACTCAGCGGCAATGACATCAAAGAGTTTATTTGTTACCCAAAGTCCCACCCCTTTATTTTATGCTGTGGCTTTTAAAGGATTTAAAAATCTCAAGAAAACCTTTTGAATTATTTGGTTACTTTACAAATATTGTGACGCTAATATAAGTCTGTATTAAAACACAAAAGCCATTTTCAATGATCGGATCCAAAGAGATCTAACAACATACTCCTGAAAACGAAAGACCACTCTAGGTATAAACAAGACATGCACCTTATTTCCTGGTCATCTGAAAACAAGCTGCACAATGCAAATTCAATGAACCAGCAAGGGCTGTTCTGGATTAGAAGCCTCTAGCTTCCACACTTCTTTATGGCAGTGCTTTGGTTTATTCTTACCTTTGGGCCTTCAGGGCCATTTGGTCCAGGAATCCCAATATCTCCTGGAAAACCCTAAGGAATATGAAAAAGTAGAGAATTTATTCTGTAGCAAAACAGTAAAAATCTACCAAGTATCTAAAAATTCCCCTTGCCTTTAATTTAGATCAAATTAAAGCAACCCTACTTCTCCAAAATACTTTATTTAACATTTGCTAACTTAAGTAACAGTTTAATAGGGGGGCACAAAACTTACATATCATACCATAAAATTCACACTCAAGGAAATCCTCCAGTGTTTCCCAATGTGGGCAACACTGCCCCCTGGGAGACACTAGAGTGATCCAAGGGGGTGCTGCCAAAGAAAATCCCTGCGCTTCATTCTGCCTTATGGGCCATGGCACAAACATTTTTTAATTGAAAAGGGACCATGGTGTCCCATAAAGTAATTTAACTTCGTGTTTTGGCTTATGTTATTTTCTCTATGAGATTGTAAACTCTTTGAAGAGTCTTATTCATTATTATGTCCCCAGAAAAAAAATAATTACCATTTAAAAAGTAATCCAAAACACCACTTTTTTTTTTATGGATTCAGTGCCTTGTCTGATCTTTTAAAAAATGGGCCCCATATCTGGCCTCTGAGGAGGCGTTTATAATGCTTGCATCAGAGAATTCCCATGGATGGATCCACACTGTCCATCTTCTATATGAACATGGAATACCATGTCACTCCAGAAAACAGGTAGCCATCAAAGGCATAAAAAACAGGTTGTATTTTCATATTAAAATAATTGAGTGGAATATGAAGAGGACCCATGTACCTGGTATGGGATAATATGAACTTCAATAAGTATATGAATTCCAAAGGATTGAACTATATCAAATATGTTTAGATTCATAAGATCATAATGATTCTGATATGGGGAAAATAAAAATCCTGATTCTGTTCAGATATTTTTAAAATTGAAAACAATTCTTTTAATTTCAGAATTTAAGGGAGTTAATTCACTGTCTTGAAAACGATTAAAAAACCATCCATTCATTCTCTTTTTCTTATACATACCAGAGGCAGTTAACATTGAGTTGACTCAAACTCATGGTAAGTACCAGAGTAGAACTATGCTCCATCAATTGTTCAATAGTTGATTTTTGGAAAGCAAATTGCAGGTGCTTTCTTCTAAGACACCACAGTGCATACTTGAACTTCAATCTTTGGGGATTGAAGTGCACTAACTGTTTACAGCATACAGACACTCTACTCCAAGTACTGTGTCACTCTTGTGATTGTGGGCCATGTCATTGAGGTAGACTCACAGTAAACATTAAACCTTTAGGATACAATGGGTAAATGCTTGGCTGCTAAACAGAGGGATTCTTAACCCACCAGCCACTCTGTAAGAGAAAAGATCTGGAGAATTCTGTGGAGCAGTTCTACTCTGTTAGAGTTACTATGTGGTACAGTGGGCAATGAGGTGGGTTGTTAACTCCAAGGTCAGTAGTTCAAAACCACCAGCTACTCCATGGGACAGAGATCAGACTTTCTACTCCCATAAATATTTACAATCTTGGAACCCAGCATGGGCAGTTTTACTCTGTCCTACAGGGTTGCTAGGAGTCGGAGTCCACCTGATGGTGGTGATTTTGACTTTGGTTTATGTCCTATGGTACTAGTAACCATAGAGTAAAGGAAGGGATTACTCAGCCAATTCAGGAAAATGAAATGCCAGAATTTGAAAGCGGAGCTGATGTCAAGGAATTCAAGAAGGAAAAGAATGTTTTGAAATTGGTGTGGTAGCTATTGTACAACTTGATGTGTTTGAAGTATAGAATGACATGGTATCTGTATGAGCTCCCAATCACATGGTTTAGAAAAAGAAAAACACCATTTTGCAACTCCCCAAATGATGCAGTGGAACTAGGTATTGAGCATTGTTGTTAACATCACAGAAAAAAAGAGGAAGATCACTGGGTTTTATGTGCTCTCTGATCTAAGAGCCAAGTGCCACCTACAGTCTTGCCAAAAGCAACCAAACACATCAGCATTGGACAGAACCTCGGTATGCAACTACGACTTTGCGGGAAATGCAGACGACTAGAAAACATCTGAACCCATACCAGGAGAACAGAATGAACAAAATCCGTACTGTGGGACGCTCTCCACATTACAGGATTGGGTTCTCAATAACTAAATTGCAAAGAGAAACAAGAATGGAGAGAGAACGTTTAGATGAAAGGATAGAAAATGAAACAAAAACGTTGTCGTTGTTAGGTGCTCTCGGGTCAGGTTCTACTCAGAGTGACTTGCGGAACACCGCCCATTCCTGCGCCATCTGAGTAATTGTTCTTATGCTCCCGCTCATTGTTACAGGCCTCGGTCAATCCATCTTGTCGGAGGTCTTCCACTTTTTCTCTGCCTCGGCACATTTCCAGGCGTCATGTCTTTCCCAAGGACTCATTTCTCCGGATCACAGCTCAAAGTATATGGGACTAAGTCTCACCACCCTTGCCTCCATTCTTAAGTGGTACTTCCTCTACGACAGATACATTTGTTCCTTTGGCAGCCCACGGTACTTTCTATAGTTTTTGCCAGCACCATAATTCCAATGCATGGATTATTTTTCCTTCTTCCTTCTTCAATTCTTCCAGCTTTCACATGCATGTGAGGTGAAGGAAAATACCATGGTTTGGGTCATGCACACTTTAGTCCTTGCATTTTAAAACTTTCAAGACAAAATCCGTAACAACCTCCATCCATCTTTTCTCTTTTTATCACGGTTAACTATTTGTCTAGATTTGGGAATTTTTCTTTGCTTTGGGTTCTGATCCACATTAAGGTTACAATCCTTGATCTTCCCCTGCAAGTGCTTCAAGTCCCCCTCACTTTCAGGAAACAAGGTTGTATTACCTTCCTGTTACAGGTTATCACAAAGCCTCCCTCCAGTGTTGGCTCTGCATCCCTCTTCTTATAAGCCAACGTCCCCGCATATGTTTTCATCACACAGATCGCATAGCTATGGAGAAAGGAGACAGCCCTGACTCACAAAGCCCCGAGTAAACCCAGCACTCTGCCCTTGCTCTGGTCACACAGGTCCCTCTTGGTCCACCTGCAGCTTCCAGACGAGCACATTAAATAAAAGAAGGCTAGACTAAACTAGTTTTTTTTTAAATGTATACCTGAGTAATAAGTTATAAAAGAAAACAAAAAAGACATCATCACTTTTGGGGGAGTAGAGCTGTGTGTGGGTTGGGGTACATCAAATCTTCTGGTGGGTCACTGGCAAGATCTATTTTCTAACCATTGTGGTTTTCTAAGAACGTCCATTTTAAAATAACTTATTGAGTTATACATTTGTTCTATATAGTTTTCCATGTCTGTGCTTTCAGTAAAACAGTAAGTTACAGTAAAAGTGTTCTTGATGTGACTGCATTATCTGGAATATTGAGTTTGTGTGCTTGGGTCTGCTAGCTCTAAAATGATCAGTAAGGGAATCTTTAAAAGGCATAACGTCCCAAAGAGATGGGAGAATGGGAGACAGCAGATGTCAACAAATGTAATCTTGTATTACAGTCATACAATAATTTTAATGACAAAGTTAAAACTTTATTTAAAAGCTCAGAAATGCATCGGGATAGTTATTAAAGAGGGAAATATCCATTTCCTGTCACACAGGGTAGCTCAGAAACCTGACCAAAAACATTTTCACTATTTGAAAATGAGCACTTGGGTTGGTGCCAAATAGACAGCGAAACTTTTATATCATATGTTTCAATATATATACATATAAATATAAATCAAAGCTATATTGGATAATTTGAATTTTAAAGATAACATATTTCTATAAAGTAAATATTTTTAACACAAATTTAGTGTTCAAAATGTAAATACATCAAATGACAGGACTATGAATGTCTTTGCCAAGTAGTTAAATTTCAGAGAACTTACAGAAGACTTCAAAGTTCATAATTCAAAGGCTATCATTTTAATTTTTAAACAATAATGACAATCTATACAAGAGAAAAATAAAAACAGAAATATGAAAAAGATACAGTAATTATTTTTTAATTCTAAAATAATTTTGGAAACGTTTGCAAGACAAAATATTTTTTCTTAAAAATCTATAATTTCAGCTAAGTTATCAGAGCACAATTGAAAATACGTGAGTTAAGTGAGAAAAATGGAAGACTGACCTGTCTTCTGGTGTCTTAATTGAAATAGTCTCATTATCAAGTTTCACCAAGATGGAAGAAACTGAAGTAGCTTTAAAAATAATAAGTGAAAATGTGTCTTCTATTTTCAGACCCCTCACATCTGTTTTTGACTCTGAAAAGAATGATTCAGCATTCTCTCCAGGAAAAACAAAAGTTTGATTTTTTTTCTAGTCATTGCAGGCTAGATGCAATTTTTTAAAGCAAGGCTTTGAAATGAACCCCATGCACTAACAGATCCCATTAGTACCCTGGAAAATCACAAAGTAAAATACTGCCATTCTTATTCTGCCAGTAAACACAGCTTAGAGGATGCAACATCCTAACAGAGTCAATATGCAGTATTCCATGGTATACACTGAGCAGGCTAGCAGTCCTCCAGTAGGCATGATGAAGTCTGTTTCTTATTGGAATACATAGCCTTTTCAAGTAAACATGGCAAAAACCAATACAGAGATAAAGAAATTCAATGAATAAACTAATAAAATGATGTGGATGTAGCTACCTTGATCAATCACGAATGCATTACATTAAGTAGAAGGAACCAGAGAGGATTCCATTTCTACAAAAACTTTAAAAGTGCAAATTACATATTTCATCGTTACTACCCTGCACTCTGATTTGCTCCAATTTCCCCCGGATGGGCCCTGGGTCCCCACTCTGCACTCCCCCTCATTCACAATGTTAAG